CTGTGGTCGGCAAACATATAGGTTTACTTACATTTATACAACATATGACAAGTTACCAAGGTTTTAAATACGGTTCAGTCAAACGGCAAGAAAATATATTTATTGCTGTGTCTTCCAAGTATGCCTTCTTATGATTGCTGCAACATATTCACTTGAATCTGACACTTGCGCTTGACTTGATGGTGATGTCAGTGGGATGTCAGATCTGTCCGTTACTTTTACTGAGGAAAAACCTTACTGTTGAAACCTGTCCTGATAAGAACTGGTTATATTCTAGCGGCCAGCTGTGTCTACAGTAAGACGTCTGTAAACCAGGTTTTGGCACATGATTATTGCATTCAGAGGTGCAGGTGTCATAGCCGACGAGAGTTCTGGGTTACCAGAAAAGTTGCCAAAAAGCAGGTCCTTGATCGCAGAGGCACGAAGGTCCTTGGCAGAAGTGCTCTTTCCTGTAAAAGTAGTTGAGACAGCGGGCCCCTGGCTGTTTCCCGGAGTAGAAAACCGTTTTACCTGGAGCTTCAGCCGTGACAAACATTCCAAGAACGATGAAGATGTGAAAGGCCGAAGGGTCGATCGCCTTGACCTCTGAAGGTGATGTTTAAAGAGTTGTGTCAGCTCTCGGTTTCACTCTGCAAATTCCCATCCGACCTCAGGGACACTTCAGGTTTCGAGAAAAACAGCCTCTTATTGCAATGTCATAAATTGAACTAGGGATACGCGTGGGGGGAATCTGAGGACCGAAATTGGCGGCTGTTGAAAGGACTTGGCCACAACTGCTTCGCAGACGTCAACAGCGTTGAGCCCTGAGGAAGGTTCGCCGGGCTAGTTTGTTGACTTTTGTGTTCAACTTCCTCTGCTGCTTCTCCTCACGGTGACTGCCAAAGTGCCGCTCAGTCTGTGCTCCCTTCCCGCTGTCTGTACGTGAGTTACCGCGTCCTGTCCTCACCGCTTCATTACCTGTTGATGCTGCACCAAAGTAACCATTGCTCTGCAGATATTCACACGGACTCAAAGCAATTCCGAACAAGTACTAGTAATGAAACCCTCGCGATAGTTCCCCCAGCTGTCCCGTCTGAATCTGCGGCTAGCTGCCGTTATCAATTTACTACAACCCGAGCTCGCCTTGGTGGATACCCGGAGGATGAGGGTGCTGGAATGACGGGTATGTCCCGGGCGATGGGCCCACTATCGCCACCTGCAGGATACAGCCTGGCCGGGGCGTGCGAGCATTGGTAGTGCACGCTTGGCAGTACCGAGGCGTGATGGTGTTTGTCAGCTCCGTGTGGACAGTGTAAACATCACAGATCGCTGGCAGATACGGCGGTAGGCATGGCTGGATCAGAGCATGGCTGGATCAGAGCATGGCTGGTCCAGAACGCTGCAGACCAGAACGATGCTACTCGGATGATGCGGTGCAGTCTCCACCAGACTTCTTTGCAGGCCAAATAAATGATACAAATCGGCCTGAAAAGGACTGTAACTGACCAGGGCAGTTAGTCGGTCATAGAGGGTCCTGCACGGAAAAAGTTGGATCCTCTATGACCATGTCCACAATTTCTACTATTTATTCAGCCTGCAAAAGAGTTTGGTGGAGACTAGATGCAATGTGCCGTGGTCTCGTACATTGTATGATTTACATCGTGTCTACGCGAAATAAATCGACGTACTTTCTATATATGAATCTTTGCATAATTACTGTCAAGTGTTGATCGCTAGAAAATCCATGATCTATCATACCAAATGTTTCAACGGTATGACTCACAATAAGAAGAATCTGATATATCATTACGTGTATATCATTATAACTTACTACTCATCACTCAAATTTGCGTGTCCCAATGAAGAAAGATTATCACATTTGTTTGCACAGGGAAACTAATAAAATACGTGACAGAGACAAAAAGGAATGACCTTGTACACACACATCAGTACGTAGCTCAAAATCGTTCGTGGATCGATGGCTACGCGCATGATATCAAGGACATTTGTGCATTCCGTGATAAAACATGGCCTACACGTTTATTCAAATTACAAAGTATATTTGCATATCTCACGTGTATAACAGTTAGCTTAACATCTGACCCGTATGTACACTAGCTGCAGGCAGATATCACGACTCTCATGACTATGCTAATGACGAGCTCGTTCTCAAACGGTGGAACCGTCCTTATCATGTGGAGAGATCTCTCGGCTGTCCATCGCAGCGCGATGATGACGTCAATAGAGTCTTAGGTGAGATCGCAGCCCAAAAGATGAGATCGCGCTTTCAGATGTGAAATGATAGTAATATCTTATCAAGATTATTTGAAAAGGTTATTTCTATTTATTTATTCTTTATGTTTTGTTAGTAAGAACGACACGTTTTCCCATCTTATGGGACTGCAACATTTAGTCACATTTAGTCAAATTTTCCTTTGATCTATCTAAAGATGTTTCAGAGTTAGCACTACTTTATATTATCAGACAGGAGTCTTTGACATAACTAGAGATAAACCGAGAAATAAATGGGGCAAGGAGCTGCAGTATGTTTCCTCGCACGATCATGATCACTGGGGAATAAATTGAGACCGTAGGCGAATCAGCAAAGCTGTCTTTACACACTCTACACCTCGCGTGTAATCTACTGGTTTGCAATCTCTCCCGTGAATCAAATCCATTTTGGATCAAGCCCAAGACCGTTAAAGATTTGAATCGCAAAATGCACGCCTTGGTACCGACAGAGCTGCTGTCATTTTAAAAGGGAACTGTAAAAATCCACACTTACAAAAAAACGCCACACAGAAAGGCGGCTAACAGACTGTTCAGTAAGCTTAAATACTCTGAAGAACGGAAGATTCTGCCACCCGGGCGCCATTCCTGCACTGACCATACTATTACTAACACCCTACTAGCCGCCGGTCTAAACTGTAAGTCCCTGAAGCTCCCTCTCACACAGCCATCAGGAGAAGTTCCTCCAGCTAGTCTACCTTAATACGGAGAATAACAAAGTGCTGTGCAAATGTCTACAGAACGCGCAGTTCTTCATGCTCTTATCTCCGTGCCAGTCGGGCTCAACAGACGATTTCAGCCGGCATCAGCCCGTCCCGGTTGCGCGGCACAGGCCTGCGAAAATCGAATCCTACCCGGCTAATAAAGGCTACCTGCACGCCATCGGTAAACCAAGAATAAAGATTTCCTTAATCATTTTGACACAGTAGGTCACCCCGGCGCTGCGTGATGTATGAAGGTTCTGATAAGGCTTTGATAATGATCAGCCTTCGGAGATGATTTGCTTCCCGTTCTATTTCCCTGCGGTCATTGCTATTCTGCACATGTTACGACCTATCCAATAACTCCGGTAGCTCCCGTCTTGCTGTCTCACTTCAACGAGCTCCAGCGAGGAGGGACGGTCTCCAGTGAGACTAGAGGCTGGGGCAAGTGCACTTAACAATTTCACAAGGGTTGCTGTAATAGCCTTGTCTTATTACTTCTGCTACCTGGACAGCTAGATTGGTATGAATGGATTATAGATCAGCCGGGGAAGATTTCATTCACGGTAGTGATAAACAAAGAATAAAATGATACGATGAGTCTCAGTGACCTAACCAACCCATCTAATCCTTGGCTTTTAAAAACTATATACTAAGATAGTTTCTTCCATATTGAGCTTTCCTGGTCACAAAACTCTGGCCGACTGTCAACCGAGTTGTCGCCATGGCATGTTGATCATCCAGGGTGTGTAAGGCCCTGCATTTGGAATCATACGATCTGGCCTTCCTTTTTGATACCGTAAGTTTTCCCTCTGTTTGACGCTGGGTGATATATCCACAGACGATAGAAGAGGCAATCCACAGTGATGTAGTGGATCTGTTCCCGCGCCCGGCCCGTAACGGCCGCGGTGAGGCATCAACATGCAGCCTGTGTTGACCTAGATGCACACTGAAACTGAACAGAGCGATCAAAACGGCCCGGCAACGGAGAAATAGATGCATCTGACAAATCCTAACGACCCGGTGAGAATTGCTGGGAATTTGCTCGCTACCGTCACGTAGGGGGTTTTCAACTCAGCGTTAAATTTTTATCAAACCACCCAGACAAAAATTAACGGGCGAGGCGGTGTGTGGGAAGCGTGCGGACCGTTGAGTTGGCTCACGTACAGTGACGTCTGGGCGTCGTTAATAATAGACTGACTGGCAACTTTTCGTCATTTCTCACACCATTTTTTTGTGTGTTATTTTTCTTTAAAGGTTAAACCAAGGCATAGTTTTCAATTATCAAAAGTTTGTGACAAATTTGGTCTCCGGCCTTTGACGCTGACTATCTGAGCAGAATTTGGCGCCCTGACGAATTGTCAAGTTTAGAGACCAGGAGGACTCCACCAGCCCTGGTGAGAGAGGATATGTCTCGTCTGCCCGACATTTCCCGCCACATTAATCTCTCTGTCGGCGCAGAAAATTTAATTTGGACATGCAGGCAACGCGCGACGACTGCCAAGGAGGCCAGCGGTCGTTTGTCGTCGGTATGTCATGCGTCATGTTCCTCCTCCACCCGCGCATCATAGCTCCATTTCCAGCCAGAAAATGATCGCTGTTCACCCGGCCCTCTCTAGTCATGAAACATTCGTCGATCACAAGAAACTAGGGCACCCTTTTCGATTTTTCCCGAAAGTGACGTACGTGGCAGAAGACAAATAGACGCAGTACGTCGTCCGCATATCTTTTCTGACTCGGATTTGGTCCATGGCATCCTTCGTACCTTCTACCATATGGCCTACCGTTCTGTGATTGGTGCTGGCCTTATGTTGAAAATTTTTGGTTATTTACACACTGGTAAATTTTTAGCGAGACGAAAAATTTGCTTCAGTTTCTTCCGTAGTTTTTTCGTGCACTCTCTCACCTTTTTATGTGACGGTAAAACTGGAGTAGACGGACATGGAGCACAATTTACGATTTTATGAATATCAATATTTGATTTACTAGAAGATTGAAATAAATTGCTCGTTGTTGTTGTTTTTTCAATAGGGTCAGTCTGGGGCAGAGAAGACGAAGCAGTCCAATAGTACACCCCTGATGCCCCCACCCCCTCCGCCGCCTCCCCCCACCCCCTCGCCCATCTCCGCTCAGTCTCCGGTCTTCATCCCCTCCGTGCTGCCCCCGACCACACCCCCGTCCGTGCGCCATGTCGGCACCAACACCACCGAGATCGGCGTGGTGACGGAGCCCGAGTGTCTGGGACCATGTGAGCCGGGAACCAGCGTCAACCTGGAGGGGATCGTGTGGCACGAGACCGACGGAGGTACGGTACTACTAGTATATCATCTCTCTACTTAGCCTAATGGAGCTTCTCTGGTTGTGTCTCTTTGCGTATAAAACTACTGTAACGAGGCCGAGAGAGAGATCTTTCGGTTTCTTTCCCCAACACTACACACAGTGCTCATGCACATATCTAAAGTTTCCAGTATTCACTGAAAGTTGTTAAATCAATAACATAAAAGCGTACTTTTGAACGGCATCCAATTTCTATGTAGACTTGTGAGGTCAAAGCGTGACCAAGTAGCCTTGCCAGGAAAGTTGTGGGAAGTTATATTGTGTGTAGTATTCTGCCACGAGTCAGGTCAGGCTACGCACGAACTCTGGAAGTAGCATCGTTCTTTCTGAGTCAGAGTAGTAGCGCTACAGTAGGTGATTGTGCCCAGCTGGCTGAACGATCATCGTGTAGACGATTCCCGTAACGTCACGACATAGACAGACCCACAATGACCTCAATTTCGTAAAACAATTTCTACAAACCGCCCCCTTCATGTGTTACGTGGTTATGTAAAATTTCATTTGTCACCAAGTGGAGGAACCTTCCTCCCCCTCCCTCGTTTGAAATGATAGTTATCTGGCTGAGAGCCGGCGGTCAGGTTGTGCTCTTTGTGCTCTACTGTACCCCGCACGTTCGCACTCTGCCCGATCTGTAGGCACGGAGCTCCGGAATCAAATTAATCCCCCATCACCCGACTGCACCATCGATCTCTCTCAGTCCTCCTTCCTCGGTAATCTGCCCGGGTTGTACGGCAGCAGCCATGCATTATTTACTAACCTATCTGTGCCGGGACGATATCTCCCGCAGCACGTTATCAGGACCAGGATCATGTGAAGTGTATTATGGGCCCGCGATCAGAGTGCCCCAACATTTTCTGTTCCCTTTAATTCCCGATCTGTCGTCCCATTATCATAAAGGCTTCTGTGCAGGTATTTTTAAGAGGGATCGAAAGACCGATAAACCTTCCGTGGAGGCATCCCCAGAGCGTTAACAATCCATTTTGCTCTCGACCGTTAATACACTCTGCTAGGCACCGGGGTAACATGGACTTAACGGGGAAAGGCGCACGCCCCCGAAAGGCACTTGTACATTCTGAGCCCGTTCTAGCTCAATATGTACACCGGAGGCTACATGATACCCCGTGCTTTTATACTTTTTCATCCATATATCGGTATGTCTAAGACAACGTGAAAAAGCCCGTTTGGAAACGTCTCGCCATAAACGTCTATCCTACAGTTCAGTTGTCCCGCCGATTGCTGTAAGGTTTTATTTCAGATTTGCTCGACTCGTGGTCCGTTCAGTCGCCTCCGGCGCAGATCACAGATTCGGGTGAAATATCAGCCGTCACGCACCGGTACACGCCACCAATAACTCACCAGCACTTCTAGTCATCCTAATATCCGGTAGTGCTTAGCCCATCGACGACGTTCCAGGGTTTTCAAGACCAGCATCATGTCCTTTCCTGGACAGGGACATGCGGCATGTGATCATCTCACATGGCCCAAACAACGCAGGAGAATAACAATTAAGTTGAAGTAGTTTATTGGATTGCATTAATCCGAGTGCTATTTTGTTTCATAGCCATGCGCTTTTTCATGTGATGTTGTTTATTTAAAGTTGTTACGCGTACGACTTACGGATATTCAGCCCAAGGGATGTATGTAAAACCTTAGCGAGAGAACGCTGCTGTGGTGACATTTAAACGAGCTGCCGTGCATGGCAATGTCAACTTCTCCAGTCGGCTCCGTCTGGGTGAGATGTACCGTGTTTACTGGCGTGAACACTGAGCCACTGAGGCAAGACGTAGGCGACGGAAAGAACTTTAAGGCGTCTTCGCTAATTAGAACAAACGACGCAAACCACGTCGTATCTACATAAATGTTATAGAGCCAATCTTGCATTCGCCGGTTGAATCCTTTATCCGATTTCCCGCTCCGGTGGCCATCTGAAGCCGGTATGTTCTGTGTCGGTGCCGTTCCTCTGAAAGCCCGTTCAGGCGCCTGTGTGTGCTTCACCATACCATCTCCTTTCTCCTCCAATCAACTCGACTGCCATTCCTTAGGGTCCTGTCAGCGCCAAAATTTGAAAAGAGCCGGCGAAACGATTCTCTCGCCTCCATCGATTCCGGCTAATTGCCCCGCGAGGCCCTGGTTGCCGCAGCACATATTGAAGTGTGAAATCATAGCCGAAGCCAGCCTTCGCTCCGGCTTACGGTCGTCAGAATAAACTCTCTCCTTCGATACTTCCTCGGTACCAGAGCGCTGTTTCAGTTGTTTTATGGAAGCCACTTGTCGGCACCGTAACTTCAGCAGTGTGAGATTTCGTGGTCCGACTTGGAGCGCTAAGTAATCGGGGGGATGGTTGTAAAAACCGGATGTTTCTACAACTGAGTTGTCCATGGAAAACACTCAGAATTCATATTTGTTGGAACTTTTTGGTGGTGTTTTTATTCGGTACCTTAATTTAATTGATAACGAAATACAATAATTTCACAAAGCCATCACAGATCTATCTACAGTATTTCTACCACATGGATATCACAATGGTTGCACGTTGACGACTGGAATATCATGTTGATGATATACAGGTATTTAGTAATAACCAGAAATACCCGGTTCAACCCGCTTGTATTTGTTATATAAGGGCGTACATATAAATGGGCTAATTACAGTTGTTGATATAAATACAAAGAAAGGTCATTGACAGTGCCTGTAACTTGCAGCTGCAAATCTGCGTTTTTATCGGGTTATGTTTCAAATGTTTAGCAATAATTACATTGTCAAGTGACAGTAACTACAGGCACACTGACATGCATATGTTTTAAAACGTCGCCTTATCTATGATATCAACAATCAATTCATTCGAGGCACTTCTGGTAGATAGGAAGTTGAATCTGAAACTAGATGGTCCCAACATTTTCTGCAGATATGATTTTCAAATATGGGATAACGTATGGTAAATTTGATTGTAAAATTAAATGGTTTCATTGCAGATTGAAAAACGAGACATTATGTCAGTTTACCATAAAACAGGAATATCATACCGTGACGTCTCCTGGGAAATGTCATGAGAAAGGATGCATGCACTCCGAAAGATCTGCTCCAATCATTTCACAAACCCTTTCCTAGATCCTAGCATCTTATTACCTTTACAGCAACACTAAGAGGATTTTCGGGATGTTTTTTCGCACTTTCGTTCGACAAGCCAGACAGAGCACAGGAGACTTAGAGGGTGGGAAGTCGTGAAAATGTTGGATTATTCTTTTTTTAACAAGAGTGGGTGTATGTGAGGGGAGGGGACAATAGTTCTTCTCAACGCTTCCAGGTAAAATATCATTTTTCTGTTGTTATTTCATACATCGCGTCCTCTGTGTTAGTAGAATCCACGTGTATCAGCATATTTTACACGCGTGTAATAAATATTTTGCAAACATGTAACATGGCGACATAAAGGTGGGGAATGTCCGGCTTACAATACCCCGTGGTTTTTACTACCCTGCCCGGCCCGCTGAGGCAGTGTTTGCGTGAGCGATAACTCAGCTCAGCCGGCCTATTGCTGTCAGAGCGCTCCGGGGAGCGGGAATGTATGGCCAGCTTAAAACTAACGTAATGCCGTGTTATGGGAACATTTGGATAGGGTAGCTGTCTCACGACGATCGTATCAGGAGATGATTGAAGTGCCATCAGAGGTATGATTTAAGAGAAGACCGGCGCTTCGCCGCCACAGCCGAGAGAGTAAAAACCGTCGGGCCGGCGCGAACATTTGTTATTCCAAGCGGGTGACACGGGTCTGTTCCCGATGTTATCGTTCCAAGATTTAAAGTGCAATCATACAAACGTTTTATGCCCATAGGTTCTGACTAATTGCTTCAGCGAGCTTGGGCTGTCATTGAGCGACGCGTTTACGCTGATGATACGAGATAAAGCCGCTTAATATAGAGTGGGATGTACGGGAGATTGATGGGTTTCTTTCCGTCCTCCAAGCAGTTTAATCCTACAGCGGCTGTGCCTGGCGCGGGAGATCGATCTCCGCACCGCCTTGTTGCGGCCCGCGAACCCTGTGGTAGAGCTCTCATCCCGGCAAAGTAAATACTCTGTATCCCCCCTTTTTACACATTCTGATGGAGTCCGGCGGTTCGGCCGGCCTTATGCCACGCAATATCTACAGTGATTACTGCGGAGCAAGTTAATTTTCCGCATGGAAATTAACGATCGCGTTGCTCACTGGGGATGTCGGGCGGCCGGATGCAGGCAGCCCCGCGCACTCTCTCCTCGGCCTCCCCACACAGACATCCGGGGCTTTAGGATGAATTGTTAATGTGTGAAATTGAAGGCACACCAACTGAAGCCGTCACGGAGGTTTTTCCCGAGCCCAGTATTAAAGCTACAGAACACAGAACATTGGAGTATTGCTCTCTCAATATCAAATACTGAATGTCCTTTAGGATTGAAAACTAACGCCAAAACGGTTTGTACTGAATGAACGTCTGGTAAGATAACTTCATAACATATAAGTTGTCCTAATCTCGGTTGGAGCCAAGCCAATGAATGAAAATACATTGAGTTAGCAATTGCCGAGTATATGTAAGGTAGATTTTAGATTCACTTCAATGAGAACAGACGTTTGATATTCCATCGCTGCACTGTGCTACATCGTTATTTGGGAGAAGGAGTGTTGAAAAAATGTCAGTATTTCAAGCTCTTTCAATCACGAACGTTGTGAACATAACTTTCATAGTAATTCTAAATTCGTTCTGGGAAGACCTGAGATACCCTGGCGCCGTGGCGGCGGGAAAAACGCACCGTGAAGAGCCACGGTTTTAACGACTGGCACGTCGAACGGGTTACACCGTACCCAGGGTACAGACGCAACCACTTTTCACAAGATCATTATCAACTCTTCTGTCGAATTCCCTTGTTCGACCGCCTGCCTAACTTGACAGTTTCAAGAGAATAGTATGATAAATTCTGTACCGTTACCGACCGTTC